GTCCCTTATTGCTTGTAGAGCAAGATAGGCACCTCTGGCCTGGGATTCAAGATCCTTCAGAATGGTGCTCCACTTGTCACTCTTTGGTGCGTGCTTCCTGCTCCCCGACCCCGTTTTAATTTCACAGCACTCACATGGCACCAATTTTAACTTGTTTAATCCTCACAGAAGCCCTGAAATAAGGATTTGGGTCCTCCTTATATTCACATCTTAAGGATGAGGACACCGAGACGCATAGAGGTGAATGGCTCACTTGAACCCACACAGTTGCTCGATGACAGGCCTGGAGTCTGCATAGGCACTGCTGTCATTGCTGCTTCTCTGGCCACCTGTGCACCAGACTACTCCTCTCCTTTTCTAGGTACAATTCAACATCCAAGAAGCCTTCCCTAATGCCCCCACCCCAGATGAATTAATTCTTCTGCACTCTGTGTACCCACAATGCTTTGCATATCCAGTCCTTCCCCAGGACAGCCTCCCCACGGGGTGCTCTGCTCTTGTTTGTGTATTGTCTCCTCTTGGGTGCTGGGCACCTCAGGGCATGGGAGTCTGTGCCTCACCCTTCCTTCCTCCTCCCTTCCCAACCTAGCATCCTCCTATCATCCATTCTCCATGCAGCAGCCAGAGGCATATTTAAAAAACAAAAGCATTTAAGATCAGTTCCCGCCTTAAACCTATCTGGAAAAATCCACTGCATTTTGAATAAAATCCCAATTCTGACCACAGAATTCTGCATGGTCTACCCCTGTGCTCTCTCCGCCCTCATCTGATGTTACTTCCTCACTTTCTCACCCTGCTCCAGACACACTGGCCTCCTGCCTGTCTCTGAACAGTCACCCTCACATTAGGGCCTCTGCCAGAGAGATTTCCTCTTCCTGAAATGTTCTTCCCCACATCTCACATGACTGACTCCTTGTTACTTAGACCTCCGTTCCATGTCACTATTTCCTCATCTGTCTGTTTATATGTTTCTATATTCACTTTTTAATTGTTATTAATGACAGCATCTACTGTGAGTCTGTAAGTCTCAAGAGAGCAGAGATCTCTCTGTCTGGTTCTGCTGTGTCACCTGCACCTGGAACGGTGCCTGACACAGAACAGCCGCTCAGTGGATAAGTGTCTTGAAGAAAGGGGAGAGCCTCAACAAGTCCCTTTGGGATCCTACCATGCAATTCAACAAGGCCCAGGTAATAGAATACATCAGAATGGGGCCCCTCCCAGGCTGATGAACCTCGCTTGCTGAAGTTCACTGCCTTTATCACTTTCCTTTGTCTTGTTGGCAATCATACTCCCAGAAGTGAGCTAGTTTCTCTGCTGATTTCCCTTCACTAGGATGCTAAGAACTTCTTCTGTCTGCCCTCATTTGTCCAGCCACGACTTAGGGAGACCTGTAAGATACCATCTTCCCTGTTTTGCTCACAGGAGCTTCCCTGAAAAGTGAAAAATGCTGACTACTGTAGTTAGAGCCCTAGAGCCTGATCAGGGCACATAAACCCATCACAGCCGTCACATTTTGTCTGTAACTGAAAAGATTTTATGCTCTAAAAAGGCACAAGAGCTCTGAGTCCTGCCGGGGCCTGGACCAAACACTATTCATTTAACACGTCACAGGAGCTGTGGATAACCTAGAGGATGTGCAGCCAAATTCAGGGCAAATGGAGAAAGGGAGGGTTCATATGCCTCTAGTTAAGGCTAGTAGGACTGGACCTAATCCACAGAAGTGATTATCTGTGGTATCTGGCTGCAGAGTCCATTGCTAATGATAACTCAGGGGGGCAGTGGACAGATTAGCACAGTGGCCAGAACGTAGGTGCCATTAATGTACCTTCAAGTAACTCTGAAAGTCTATGGATGGGGGAGGGGTCTCAAAGACCAACCATCACACATGACTGTCTTCTTGACAGCCAGGAAGACATTTCTTGCCCTATTCCTCTTCCTCCTTCCAGCCTGTCTAGGTTGGGGAAAGAAATAGCACCTCACGTGCATGTACCAAGAAACTCCAAGGCTGAATCTTCTAGGTAAAATCAGGAACTGAAAAAACACTCCAGATTGTGAGTTTGAAGATCGTGCTCTGGCCTCAGCACTGTGCAACACTGGGTAAATTGTTCCAATTCCCTGACCTTTGTCTTTCTCATCTGTAAGATATGACTTGATGATCTCCAAATGAATAATTTCCATGACATCAAACCTTCTACCCTTAAGAGTTCATGATTCAGATTGCTTTGAAAGGGAAACTCACTTTGTCTTTATGGAGCTGGATTTGTCCTTTGGTCTGCCTTTCAGATAGTCACTGGCCTAAGGCCCCAGTGTTGGTAGTAGAATCGAACAATTCTGGTTTGGTAAAATCTGTTGAGAGTTGATGTCCACCCCCTTTTCCCTGAAACAGTGTCTTCTAAGATAAGTGGTTTATTGCCACAGTGTGGCTTCTCTCTCTCTCTCTCTCTCTCTCTCTCCTCCTTCTCCTCCTCCTCCTTCTCCTTCTTCTGTACTGGGGTTTGAACTCAGGGGCTACAACTTAAGCCACTCCACCAGCCTCTTTTTTGTGATTTTTTTTTGAGATAGGTGTTTAAGAACTATTTGTCCTAGTAGGCTTCGAACCATAATCCTCCTGATCTCTGCCTCCTCAGTAGCTAGGATTATAGGCATGAGCCACTGGTGCCTGGCTAGCATAGCCTATTTCTCAAAACTTTCTGCTAAGTACAGAAAAGTTCAGAACAGAAGGAAAAGCAGGAAAGGTCAGGATTTAGTGAGTTCTAAAGCGATGCAGCATCTAAACGGCAGAAATTGTTATTGGTGTTAACATCTTTCTGCATAAAATGGTGTAATGTCTTGTACTATGTCTTGAGTTTGCTTCAAAATAAGTCTCTCTCTCTCTCTCTCTCTCCCTCTCTCTCTGATGAGAACAAGTATGGGCATAAGTGAAACAAATTGGCCAACTGCTGAAGTTGAATGATGGTTATGTGGGTGTTTATTGTACTCTTTTTTCTATTTTTCAAAATATGTTTGAAATATTCCATCACAAAAGGACCTTTGGAGACTGGCTTCAGCTTCTCTCTTTACCCTCAGTTCACAGCCCCCATCCTGAGGACCTTCTGGCATGGTGACATTACCCTGGTGGCTGTGATTTCACACCTCTAGGCCTTTGCACTCAGCTCCATCTGTCTGAGATCTTTTTCCTCTTTTCTCCCACAATTCCACACTCCTGCTTCTGCAGTCCCACAGCCTTGTTTACCAGCCTCAATACTTATCACACCATATTGCAGTTCTGTGTTTTCTTGTTTTGCTTCCCCTGCTAGTCTGTGACATCTTTGGGATATTCCCCTATCCTCCCAATGCACAGCCAGACTTGGTATTTAATAGGACTTCAGCACATGTTTACAGAAGTGATAACAGCAATAATGGTAGCTACATATTTTTAACATTTACTGTGTCCCAGGCACTGCACTAAGCTCATTACATAGCCATTTCATTGAATCCTCACCACAAGTGGGTATACTATTAATCTTATCCCTCCCTTTTAGTAGCTGAAGAAGATCTTGGGAGGTTACTTGCCCAAGGTCATATGCTACTAAGTGACAGGGCTGAAATGGTTTCAGAATGGAAACCACTGTGGCTCTTCTTGCATTTGACATTTCATGAGACTAACTCCATAAATGTTATACAACAGTTGCAGGAGAGCTGAGGGGCCTGGGTTTTGGGCCCAACATTGCTACCAAATTGCCCAGTGACCTTGGGCAAATCACCTCTGCCCCCTAGGCCTAGTCTCCTGGTGAGACTGTCAGTGATCAGAAGATCACGTGATCCCAGGGACCTCCCAGCTTCAGCTCCCAGAGAAAAGGTTTCTCTTCCACCTTTGGTTTCCTGCCACAGAGCTGGCTTCCCTGCTTGGGAACCTCCCAGTTTCTCCTACTTCCTCAACCGTTTTTCTTGCTAATTGCAGTCTCCCAGAGCTGAGCCATATTCACAACCTGCTGCCCGGGTCGCCTCCTCCCCCCACTCCCTTCCTTGCGGGCTGGGATTTCTCTAGAGGTGGAGGTGGAACACTGGGCAAGAGGGTGGGGAAGCATGTAGCTGCCCTGTTCCTGCGTGCGGCTTCCCCGCTGTTTCTCGGCCCCCTCCCCCCCACGGAAACTCAGCCTCACACTTTCTAGGGATGCTCCGGGGACAGCCAGAGCCAGTGATTTCAGCTGATTGAGCGAGTCCCAGGCATCTGGGTTAGTCTCTCCGAAGTCCGTGGTCCTGAGCTAGGGTGGAGGTTTGGAGAAAGGGGTGGTGGTGGTGCGGGAATGGGGGCGCACTCCTGCCTCCCAGTCCAGATTAGGCTCCAGATCACCCAACAGGAACCCAGGACCCTCCTGTGTCCATCTCCCCTTCCACCCTCTTTCTGACTCCCGCGGAGACCCGCCATTGCACCGCAGGCCTGGCGAACTGCAAACCCGAGCCGGAGTCGCGCGCTGTGACTAGGCCCCCTTTTCCAGCCCGCCCGTGCCAGCCCCTGGGAGAACCCGAAATCCCCCAATCGAGGCAGCCACCATCCCCACCCCCACCCTTCCCACCCCAGGGAACGCGGGAGGCCCCAGCCCCTCGGCTTTGTTGGTGGCTGGCCGGGACGCTGGCGGGGAGCTGTCCACGGCCGCGGTGCTGACGCGGGAGCGCAGCCCGCGGGGGGCGAGGCGCTGTCCGCGGGGACCGGGAGAGGAGCGGAGCCCGGCAGGCGGGCGCTGTCCGCCCGTGCAGTGCTGAAACGAGGAGCGGACCCCTGTGGGGCCGGGCGTGGAGCTGTCTCCGAGGTGGTGCTGAAATGGAAGGCGCTTGTAGCGCCCTCCGCTTCGCCGGGAAGAGCCGGCGGCGGCTGAGCTTGCGAGACAGGCAGAGGCCGGAGGAAGCCGCACCGGGGAGCTCCGCAGCGCGGGGCCTATGACTAGGGTCTCTCCAGCGAGCCTGCTCCAGGGGAGGAGGTGGCAGCTCAGCGACAGCCAGCGAGCGCGCGTTCTACGAACCTGTTGGAGGCTGCAGCTCCTCCGCGGCGGACCAGAGAGCCGGGGTCCGAGGTTCTGGCGCGGTTCTGTCCCTCTCCGTCTTCCTTGACTCCTCCGCTGAGATGCTCCCTCCTGCCTGGGTTAGCACATGTGCGCGCGGGGGGCGCCGAGCCCCTCTTCTGTCCGTCTTGAATGTCAGCCGAGCTGCTGGGCGCAGAGCCGAGAGGCCTCCCCTAAGGGCAGACCCGCTCCCAGGGAGACCCAAGCTTCCTGAGAAAAGAGGCGGGGGCTGGTGGCTGGGACGGGAGAGGGCGCCAGCAGAGGTGGCTGTGAAATCAAGAGGGAGACGGGGGGGGGGGTTCCCCATACAGGCAGTTCTACCTTGAAGTTTGGGGACAGAGGGGGTGTCTATCCTATCTTGGAAGTCTCTTCCCTCTCTCTTCATTTCTGTGGCCAATAACCAAACGCAGGTCTTTGACACTTACCTGTGCTGTTGCAAGGACAGCTCACTGATATAACTCCAGTTCCTCTTTTCTATCTGTCATCAATCATGGCCCAGAGAGATCTTTCTGAAAATATGATATTTAAGTTGTTCATCAGCAAGGCCCACCACCTGCTTTCCAGTTGTCTCCCACCATGACAGAGGACCACTCACTCTGATCAGCTTCCCCCAGTGCCTTAGCACAGCTATTTGTTCCCTTAGGGTGCAAACTTTGTCCCCCTTCTTACTCTTCATCTGCAAGTTTAGTGTTTTCATCCAAAGTGAAAAATGTCCTGACTCCTACAGCACGGTCAGTCACTCCCTCCTTTGGGCTCTGTCAGTCCTCACATCTCTCTACTAGATTTTCAGTCACAAATCCTCAGCTCCTCAGCTCTGAAAAGCTGGTCCCATGTTTTTCTCTGTATCTCCATATCCTAGGTTGGTGACTGACACAACTGGTGTTCAATTATATCTGCTGAATGAGTGAACAAATGCAAAGCAGGGCTCAAAGGGACTTCCTTTTTCTTGGTGCCATTATTCATTTGATTTCTTTTTGTTTTCCTTCTCTTTCTCTCTCTCTCCTGTCTTGCTGTGTAGCCCAGTCTGGCTTTGAACTCTTGATCCTTCTGCTCCATCCTCCTGAATGCTGGGATTACAGATGTGTACCACCACACCTGGTGCTCATTTGATTTCCATATTTTTTTTATCATGGCAGCATTCCTGCCTTATCACCAACTCTCCCCTGAGTCAGAAGTTCCTCCTACAATGACCTCAATCTTCTATTGAGCTACTTTTAAAATTAAAAAAAAATTAGTTGCTATTTTCTCTACCTGACACCCTCACCATTTTGACTCACATCACTGAATCCATCTTGACACTTGGATTTTTTTTTTGGTCTTTTTTTTTTAGACACGGTTTCACAATGTAGCCCAGGCTGGCCTGGAACTTGTACCCTTCTGCTTCAGCCTCCTGATTGCTGGGATTGCAGGCATGTGCCACCATGCCTTGGCTTTGTCATTTGGATTTTAGCTGAAATGTCATTTCCTCAAAGAGGCCTTCTCTGACCACCTGCCTAATGCTTTCTCCCCCAATTCTGTAGTAACACTTCAATTTTTTTGTTTTTATTACTCTCTGAAATCATTTCACATTCTCCTCAGTATCCAAGGGGGATGAGTTCCAGGACTTTCCACTGATACCAAAATCTGAGGATGCTCAGGACTCTTATATAAAATGGCTTAGTGTTTGCATGTAACCCTCACATCCTCCCATATACGTTAGGTCACGTCTAGATGACTTATAATCCCTAATGCAATGTATATGCTATGTACACAGTTGTTACATTGTAATGTTTGGGAAACAATGACAAGAAAAATAGTCTGTACATGTTCAGTACAGATACATTTGTTTTCCCCAAGCATTTCCAGTTTGAAGCTGGTTGAACATGAAAATGTGAAACCTGCAGACACAGAAGGCTGATTGTGAGTCTATATGTATACATATGTATCTATACACAACCATATGTGTGTGTATTTGTTTATTAGTGGCTTCCCCCAACTAGAACTAGACCTGTATTGGGGCAAGGGTCCTGTCTACATTGTCACTCAGGACCTTCAGTTCTTAACATTCTGAGAACTCATCTTATGTCAATGTATTCAGTCTTTTCATCTTTGGAAAAGAGCTTGATCTTTTGTGCAGGTCATTGTGGAATCACCTCTGAGGTATAAATCACCTAAGAATGTGTAAAGAAAGAGGGGTGTGTGGCTATTCCTGAGGATAGGAAGGGGAGGGCCTTAGGCTGTTCTGTGCTGCCATAACTGAATAACATAAGCTGGGTAATTTATTATGAAGAGAAACTTACTAACTCACTGTTCAGATGGCTGAGAAGTCCAACATGGAGCTGGCATCTGGTGAGGGCTTTCTTGCTATGTTATCCCATAGTGAAAGAAGAGAGAGAGAAAAATGACTTTCAGACTTGATCTCTATATAATTGGAGAGCCCTCATGACCTCCCATAAGCCCCAATCCTAACATCATTGGACTGGGAATTAAGTTTCCAATATAATAAACTTGGGGGACAAACTCAAACCACAACAGGGAGAGTTGCAGATATATGACTGAACAGCAGCCCTTTTTCACACTGGATAACGAGACCATAACAACTCCTTGTACAAACCATTCAAAGCACCTTCATTTTCATGATTTTGTTTGATATTTATGACAACCAGGCCTGGTAGGTTGCCCATTTTACACCTAAAGCAATTGAGGCCAACAGAGACATACTGACTTGACCAAGGTCAAACAGCTTGTAAGGAATGACACTATTCTTGGTATTAGAGTACATGCTGGGGAGCTAACCTGAAGGACATAGCCTTTGGCACCTGGGATTTCACATTGGTAGGAAACACAGGCAAATGGATTTTAATAAAATTTGATAAATGCCCAGGAGTGATTTTCAACATGGAGACAGGTGGAGTGCTGTGGGCAAGAAATAGACAGGCTATCAAGATTCAAGCAAAATGAAACTTTTCAATAATAATTGCAACTTGTTGAGTGCTTCCCAGGCATCAGGTACTATTATTAAGTATTATTACTAAGTATTTTGTAAACTTTGTTTAGCTGGTCATTCCCACTCACTCCTGTCCCCAATTTACAGAGGAAACTGAGGTGGTAAAGCTTCTGAATAGCTGAATTGAGACTAACCTGACTTTATTTGACCCCAAATGTGAGCTCTGAAACCATTTTGAACTACTGAGTTTCTGGTTTCAGGGATGAGCCTGAGATTTGAAAATGATTCTTAGGTCATAAAAAATCCATTTGTTTCACCCCTTCTGAGTAACATTCAAGTAGAGAGAACTGCCAGCCAAGGAAAGGGAACAAAAACTCTACCTTTGGGGAGGCTGAAATTGAACCTTGAAGGATTAAGTGGGGGTTTACAGGAAGAAAAAAGGGGAGAGTTTTTCAGATGGAGGAAAATTGAATACTTGAGAACCTTGGGATGTGGAAATGAGGGGACTGTTAGAGGTCATGAAGGGGACAGGGGATGGGAAATTAGTCAGCAATTGGTTTGGACTGGGCTAGTGCAACTTCATCTCACAGGTGGTGGAGAGCCATTGAAAGATAAGATCTTCACTTTAACAACTGCCATTGCCACCTTGTTATCCCCACAGCAACGACATTAGATCAGTCCCTTATGATTTGCAAAGTGCTTTCTGCTGACATTGAAATACTGCTCTGGTGTGATGTGGGCCTGCCTGATGGCTTATGCTTATTGTTTCTTAATACCTATTGGGTACCTGGACCAGTGCAGGTGTTCTGTAAGTGTTGGATGCAGGGAGTTAAGTTCAAAGGCAGCTGTAATAATCCAAGAAGGAGAAGGGATGACAAGCACCACTTACTCCTGGTGTGCACAATTCTTTGGACTGCTGACTCTAGAAAGTAAAAATCCTCTGCCCTTGACTCTGAGCACTTTGGCGGGGGCTGGGATTTAGCTCTTCAAAATGGTTAATAATTGTAACAATTTTCCTTTCCCTACATAGACAGGCATTTTGGCACTTAGGTGATCAACACCTAGCCAAGCCAGGACTTCCTCTTTACATCTTTTGGCTCCAGTATTTGGGTCCTGATGGTCTCTATTATGTGGTAATAATATTTTATGCTTTCATTTGTTTCAGAGGGTGATCACTATGCTAATGAAACTCAGTCTTGGCTCAAGAACTAAAATCTACCTTCTGTCTCTCCACCCCTCTGGGAAGTCCACATGGGCCCTGATAATAGCTAACTTACACAGAGTGTCTTGTACCAGTGTTGAGAACTCTTCACATGCCACAGAATTTCTTTTCAGTTCTTAAATATACACATCTCAGTTGGGCACAGTGGTGCATACCTGTAAACCTAGCACTGGGGGGGCTGAGGCTGAAGGATTGTGACTTGGAGGCCAGACTGGGGCTACATAACAAGACTCTGTCTCAAAAAATGAAAACAGCAACAACAACTATATATACACATATATAATCTATATCTATGCCTCTCATTCTTGGCCCTTTTTACTCTTTTTTTTGGCAGTACTGGGGCTTGAACTCAGGGCTTCACACTTGCTAGGCTTGTGAGACAGACGCTTTACCACCTGAGCCACTCCACCAGCCCCACATCCCTTTGCAGGAATGCTTTATTCCTCAATATTCATGAGCATCTCAGAGAAGGTTGGCTGGCCCACCCTCATTCTCTAAAATAGCTTCTTCTCACCCCAATTCCATTCGATGTTTACCTCACTGCTCCTTAAAACATCTTATTTAACTATTACTTTCTGTTTTTTGCACTGGACTATAATCTCCATGACAGCAAGGACTGTGTCGTATTTACCTCTGAACTCACTGTGTTGAACTGCTTTGTGCTGTGATAGTACCTGAAACTGGGTCATTTATAAAAGAACGAAAATGTATTTTCTCTGAGTTCTGGAGACTGGGAAGTCCAAGATCACTGATGCATTTTGTGGGGGGCCTCCTTGCTGCATCCTCACCTGGTGGAAAGTGGAGGGCAGAGGGGACCAGCACTGTTTCTCCACAGGACAGGAGAGCAGAAAGGCATGAACCCACTCCCACCCACCTCTTTATAACAACACTAATCCATTCATGAGGGCTGATCCTCCATGACCTAAGCACTGACCCCCAAGGCCCCGCCCCTACACTGCTGCGTTGGAGATTTAATTCCAATGTATGGGCTACG